AAGGAAAGGAAAAGGAAAGGAGAGAATGATTTTGGAAAAATACTTCAAAAAAAGCTGGACGCAATAGTGGACCCCCAAAACAAACATACTATTGAGGATCAGGGTTGCTCATGGACTACCCCCTTGAAAAATTGTTTGAGTGCTGTTTTTTTTTTAACTGGTTTTGAATAAGGCATCAAATATTTTGGAAATTGGGCATTTGGAGAATTCCAAAAGAATGGAGCTAAGAAAGTAAAAAAGAGAAAAGTATTAGCAAAGGAAAGGAAAAGGAAAGGGGAGAATGAGTTTGGATTTTTTTTTACTTCAAAAAAAAGCTGGACACAATAGTGGACCACCAAAACAAACATACTATTGTGGATCAGGGTTGCTTATGGACTACCCCCTTGAAAAATTGTTTGAGTGCTGTTTTTTAATTGGGTTTTAAAAAGGCATCATATTTTTTTTGGGGAAAATTGGGCATTTCTGAAAATTTCAAATGAAAGGATCTAAGGCAGTAAAAGAAACATCTTTAGCAAAGGAAAAGGTAAAGGGAATGTTTGAAAAAAACCTCAGGAAGCAGCTGGACACAATAGTGAAACCCCAAAGCAAACATACTATTGTGGATCAGGGTTGCTCATGGGCTACCCCCTTGAAAAATTGTTTGGACGCTGTTTTTTTAATCGGGTTTTAGTAAGGCATCATATATTTTGGGAAATTGGGCATTCCTGAGAATGTCACATGAAAGAAACTAAGAAAGTAAAAGAAAAAAAGCTTTAGCAAAGGAACAGATAAAGGGGATGTTTGAAAACAAAAAATCACCTCAGGAAGCAGCTGGACACAATAGTGAGCCCCCACAACAAACATACTATTGAGGATCAGGGTTTCTCATGGACTACCTCCTTGGAAAATGGTTTGGGTGCTGTTTTTTTTAAATTGGGTTTTAATAAGGCATCATTTTTTTTTGAGGGAAATTTGGCATTTCTGAAAATTTCAAATGAAAGGATCTAAGACAGTAAAGGAAACATCTTTAGCAAAGGAAAAGGTAAAAGGAGTTTCAAAACAAAAATCACCCCAGGAAGCAGCTGGACACAATAGTGGACCCCAAAACAAACATACTATTGTGGATCAGGGTTGCTCATGGGCTACCCCCTTGAAAAATTGTTTGGACGCTGTTATTCCCCACCTGCCAGGTGAGGGTTGTTAGATTTTATGTCAGTTGCCTCCTCCTCCTTCTCCTCCTCCGCCTCCTCCTGCCTCGTCCTCCTCTCCTCCTCCTCCTCGTCCTCCTCGTCGTCCTCGTCGTCCTCGTCGTCCTTGCTCAACTGCGACCGCGATCCACTGTGTTCTCTGCCGGACCTCAACCACGACCATCCACGCCCAGTGTTCCCTGCCGGACCTCAACCACGACCATCCACGCCCAGTGTTCCCTGCCGGACCTCAACCACGACCACCCACGCCCAGTGTTCCCTGCCGGACCTCAACCACGACCATCCACGCCCAGTGTTCCCTGCCGGACCTCAACCACGACCATCCGCGCCCAGTGTTCCCTGCCGGACCTCAACCACGACCATCCGCGCCCAGTGTTCCCTGCCGGACCTCAACCACGACCATCAGCGCCCAGTGTTCCCTGCCGGACCTCAACCGCGAGTATCCATGCCAACTGTTCCCTGACATATCTTCTGACATATCTTCTGACATTTTATTTGGCATTCTATCTGGCATATCTTCTGGCATTCTATCGGGCAAATCTTCTGGCATTCTATCTGGCATTCTATCTGGCATATCTTCTGGCATTCTATATGGCAGATCTTCTGGCATTATATCCGGCATATCTTCTGGCATCCTATCTGGCAAATCTTCTGGCATTCTATCTGGCATTCTATCTGGCATATCTTCTGGCATATATTCTGACATATCTTCTGGCATTCTATCTGGCATATCTTCTGGCATTCTATCTGACATATCTTCTGACATTCTATCTGACATCTTTTCTGACATTCTATCTGGCATATCTTCTGGCATTCTATCTGACATATCTTCTGACATTCTATCTGACATCTTTTCTGACATTCTATCTGACATTCTATGCATTGCAAGCATCCTGACACAGTGCTCTGCCAGTGGGACCTAATCGGTTTTGATTGAAGAGGTCTGGTGGAGAAATAGAGAGTTGCAGCTGCAGCGATCTGATGAAGTAACACTGGCATGGTTTTGTCGAGTTTACACGTGAGCTTGCGAGCCTTTGACTTTGGTTCAGGGGTCCACTGGCTTGGTTCAGTCATGTTTGTACAAACATGTTTGACAGGCGGCGTGCTGACATGTTTGGGCATGTTTGTTTGTTTGGCTCAGGTGGTCCACTGCCCTGTTTGGTCATGTTTAAACAAACCTGTTGAGAGCTCTGGAGTTTACTTCACATGGTCCACTGACATGTTTATATCCTGTTTGACAGTCTGACCTGTACAATGACCTGCCAGGTGAAACAAATGATTGGGATAGTTAGTTGGGCAAAAGTCCCGTGACAAAAGCTTCAGACAAAAGTGCTGTCAACTAGCTGTTTTGAAATGTCATGGTGGGGATCACACGAAGTAAAGTATTTTTTTTAATCGGGTTTTAGTAAGGCATCAAATATTTTGGGAAATTGGGCATTTCTGAAAATTTCAAATGCAAGAAACTAAGAAAGTAAAAGAAAAAAGCTTTAGCAAAGGAAAAGGTAACGGGAATGTTTGAAAAAAAATCGCCTCAGGAAGCAAACATACTATTGTGGATCAGGGTTGCTCATGGGCTACCCCTTGAAAAATTGTTTGGACGCTGTTTTTTTAATCGGGTTTTAGTAAGGCATCATATATTTTGGGAAATTGGGCATTCCTGAGAATGTCACATGAAAGAAACTAAGAAAGTAAAAGAAAAAAGCTTTAGCAAAGGAACGGGTAAAGGGAATGTTTGAAAACAAAAAATCACCTCAGGAAGCAGCTGGACCCAATAGTGGACCCCAAAAACAAACATACTATTGTGGATCAGGGTTGGTCACGGGCTACCCGATTGAAAAATTGTTTGGATGCTGTTTTTTTAACCGGGTGTTAGTAAGGCATCCTATATAATCAATAATTGCTGATGGGTCATAATTAACATTAAAAAAAGTTTCTTCAGACAACAGCTGGACACAATAGAGGACCACCACAACAAACATATAACATATTTAGGACCAATATTGCTCATTAAAAAAACTGATTTGAAAAAAACACGAAAAATAAAAAAGAAAAACATAATAATTTAAAAAAATGTAAAAATGAAATCAACAAATTGAAAATTGACTAAAAACTACAACAAAAAATGAAGAAAAAACGGAAAATACCAAAAGAAATTGACACAAAACCGACCCCCTCAATCATTTACACAGATCCTGAATTATTTTGGAAAAATGATACAAATGCGACCCACCACACTAATCAGGAGCCCAAATTACTTTGTTTGCTTCGTCTGCAATTTGACCTTTAGTCCCACATAGGCCCAGCTTAAACCATTTGTTTTCAAACTGGGCTCGTCTGGGGGCAGTTTTCGCAATGTTTGGTTTGCTTCGAATCACGTCATACTTGTTCTGATCGAACTTTTAGCCTGAGCTCCACTTGGGCCCGGAATTCCCACAGAGAGGAAAGCAGGCGGACCTATTTGGCCCAACCAAAAGCCGATTGGGGTCAAACTTGGCCGTCCTTGAGTTGGGCCGAACAGGAGCCCACTTGGGCCCAACTTGAGCGTAACTTGCGCCGAACTCGGGCCAGTTGGCCCAACTGGGGTCCAACATAGCGCAACTTGAGCACGTTTGGAAGCAAGTTAGGCTTGGTCCTGTGTGGGGGCATCTGGCGATGGCCTTGCACGAACCCAAAAACGTTGGAAATAGCGGTCTAAAAGCTAGTTTTCAGCGTGCCACCTTGAGTCCGCAAAATTGGCCCGGGTTGGGCCCACCTTGGGCTCAAGTTGCGGTATCTTAGCCCAACTGGAGCCCAATTGGCGCCACAAGTCATGTTGAGCTGAAGTTGGGCGCAAATCGACCCAGATGGGCCCCAAATTGAACATGGTGTAACTTGCTCCCCTTTGGCGACAGCTTCGCGCCAAGTTGAGCCCAACGGAGACACAACATGGAAACATTGCTTAACACGAAGTCATCGATACCCAGAAAACATGGGAAGCATCAATGAAAACGCATGTTTTGAGGATTTCGGCTTGGGCCGATCATGTCCCCCATTTTGAAGCCCTGTGGACTTCAACTTGAGCCGAAGTTGCTCCCAAATGGGTCCAACCTGGGGCGAAGTTGCGCCATCTTGGAGCCAAGATGGGCCAGAAGTTGGAGCCTGGGGGGTCCAAGTTGGGTCGAAGTTGAGGCCTTGGCCAGATCGAATCGGTGCATTTGGACGATGCTGTGCCGGTATGGTAAAGGCGCATTACCACAGCGGGGAGCCGGCTTTTGGCGGTCTGTCCCGAGCGAACACGCCCCCCCCAGCTAAAGCTGTACCAATCGCTGCTAAACTATGCTAAACTACCAGGTACCACGCCTCGGCACCTTTGGTGCAGGCGGATTTAATAGCTTATGAACATGTTTCCCCCTACAAAAAGCAGGCTACAGCGTCATTTTGCCACAAAATGGACACTTTTGAACCATCTGTAAGGGACACAGGGTCTCCCTTTCTGTGGTGGAAACTTCTTCGTGGATTCTCATAGCATATCCCTAAGGTAACTTCCGCCCCGCCTCGTGTCGTGATGTTGTTGTTGGTGGATGTTGGTGATGGTGGTGGTGGTGATGACGGCAATTGGGAGGAAAAGGAGGAAGTCAGTGAGAAGGAGGATGGAACATGTAAGAATGGTGACAACGCCAAGCTGACAGCAATGATTGCAGAAGATGATGCAATGTTCCAAAACCGTCGACCGTGCGCGATGCTGGCGGGGACTTGGCGACAGCGGGCAACAACGCCCAATCACGACAAAAACAAAGCCACAAAGATGGGCGCAAAGGGGAAGAGGGGGCGGAGATTTACAGAATGGCGACGGTGAACATGATGACGGAACTGAAGACGGCAGTGGCAGGACCTGGCGCGCTTGTATGACTGAGCAACGTCTGAAGGAAGGTTTCTGGGCCAAAGGCATAGCCACCATACTCTGCTTCACTATGCCTGGGCAGGCCCCGCTGGGTTGGTTGTGGGCCATACAGTACCCCAGCACGCCCCCTGACACACTCCCAAACCGGGTCAGCAACTTCACCATCTGCAGTAGAAACTTCACACATCTCGTCCTCAAACATAACTGAAAAAGCTGCCCAGGGTAGGAAATTAATGCTGCAGTGGGTAACCGTGTCATGATCTTCCGCTTATGTCTGAATCAGGTGGCCAACTCAATGACGGAATCTGCGCTAGCAAACGTTGCAACAGCGTTGTCCTTCCAGCATTTGAAAGCATCCTTGTCAACGCCTGAACTGACCTGGACACAAAGCCGCACGTCTGAACTCTGAACCACTCTTTTTGCTCATTCTGGCGGTCATTTTTTGGGCTGCGGTCAAGAGACTGGTTTCGGTCAAATGCGCTGAAAATCAGCTTCCCGCCAGCTTTCCAGACAGCGCCTCAGCAAGAATTTGCGCCAACATTGCGTGAAGGCTGTGCGGCCCTGGCTGCCCAACCATCTCCCAGCCTTCTTCCACCGCTAGAGCTGAACCGGCAAGTTCTTCAAAGAGCTCTTTATCGCCCTGCCAGCGATGCGGCATGTTCAATGCCAAGGACAGCAGAGGGAAGGGGTGGACGACTGGCGGCATCAAGTCAATGTCATCGCACAGCCGCGGGAAGTAAGCACTGCTACGCCTGTGTGCTGCGCGCAGGCGCGCATGCCTATAAATGAAGAAGCTTGACGCGTTTGAAAGCTGGACCGGCCCGCCCGGGCCACGCCCGTTTTCATGTGCACTCGCTTGCAGCTGCTTTGGCTTTGTTTGACTGCCTGTTGGCCCAGAAAAAACAAGACGGCGGATGGCCCGAGAGCGTAGAGGAGCAAGTTACTCAGTTGTTAGGATCAAGACAATGTAAGAGGTATGTAAGAATCATGTGATGAACAGCTATATAAGGAGGGCAAATGTAGCAGCTAATCTTGATAAAGATGACAGAAGCAAAATGTCAAGATGGATGAAAGGAAAAACAAGATGTAGAAGATGTAGGATGCGAAGATGCAACGCAAACACCTTTACAGACAGAGACCTTTACCCGAAAACCCTTGCACACACACAGTCTTCTACACACAGACACTTTCAACACACGCACACACACACACATTTACACACAGCTGCATTTATGCACAGTAACGCAAACGCTTTTACACACAGCAACGGCTTTACACAAAGGCTTTTACACATAGACGCACATGCGCACAGAAGCCTGCACACCGTCTGTGTGGAAAAGTGTCTGTGCGTAAAAGCATCTGTCAGTGTAAAAGGGTCTCTGTGTAAAGGCGCCTGTGTTTAAAAGGCTCAGCGCGTAAGCAGCATGCGTGTTTCACACAGCGTCTGTGTGTAAAACGGGTGTGCGTGTGTACCGTCTGAATAGACGTAAAACTTCGAGGGCGGCTCATCTCTATATTATATTATATCTTTGAAGCAGGGGGTCACCGGGGTCCCGGGGGGTCGGCGATCAACGAAGACACCTCCCCGGAACCCGTGTAAACGTACCTGCTGGGCTGTGGCGCACCTGGGCGCATTTAAGTCGCAGCTGGTGGCCACCATAGCCCATATATATATATTCATTAATTAATTAGTTAGTTGAATTGGGGATTCAGTTCCCAACGGATCACTTCAATGATCCATTTCCTGTCTAGTGTGATTTCCACGGTGGCCCCGGCATGGTGCCATGGACCCAATTGAGGGAACCTTGCTTAAGGCGAATGTGGACTGACTTGATTTCGGAATTGACATACTTTAATCCAGTAATTCGTTTAAGTAAAGTGAAACCGTCGGCCTTTCCGTTTTACACCTTTTTGCAACGTCTCGCCGCTCCTGCTGTCCTTTTAGGAGCCCTTGGAACCTACATCTCTTCGTGCTTGCAACCGTGCCGAACAATCAGAAACCTTCTTGTTTTGCTGATGCCCAAGCTTTTGCAACAACACAAAGCATGAAAGGCAGGTACACGCTTTCCAGATGTGGTGATGTCTTTCTTTTGGTGGTTTTTTGGGGAGGTTGAACATATCGTGCATCTAATTCGCTCGAACTTGAACAGCCGTTTATGCCCATGTGGCTCGATCGACAATGGTTCCGTTTTGGGACTAATGCACGATTACTTAGGATCGAACTGAGTCCCTTCTCTAATTGTTGTTTTTGATTTCTCCTCATCAACTAGTTCCCCATTCAGTCCCCTATTTCATGCGTTCTTCCCTCCCCAGGTCGGTCGGGTCCTGTGCGTGCCTAGGTAGGCGTAGGTTTCGCTGTGTTAGGTTGGTTCAGGCGCTTCCGTCTCCCCCCCCTCCGCTGGTCTTGCTCCGTGTCCGTCGACCTCCGCTTTTCTTTTTCCTTGCCCTTTCAGGGTTTGCCCGCTCCGCGCCAGGTGTGTTGGTGTTGGTGTTTGCTCCTTCCCTCTTCTTTTGCGTTCCTCCTCGGGTCCCGGTGAAGTAGCCTTTCATCTCATTCTCACTCTCATCTCATCTTCGGTCCCCATTTCATCCTTATTTTCACCTCATTTGCCACCCTGCCAAAGGCAGGGTGTGTGTGTGTGTACCATCTGAACAGATGCACCTTGCAGGGTGCAGCGGTACCAGCATGCCTGCCCCAAAGCGCACACACCACTCTACAGCAGCACCCTCAAGCAGCACCTTGCAGCGGCACCCTCCAGCGACACACCTCTGAAAGCAGCACCTTCAAGCACGCTGCAACAGCAACCTGCAGCAGCACCCTGAAGCGGCACCAGCATGCCCGCTCCAAAACGATCAAAACGCAGACAGGCAACCCCTCCTAGACTTGTAGTCAGAACCCCAATAGCTTCGCTATCTGGAGAATAAAGAATGTGAGGAAGATGAGGAAATTTGAAACATGAAGGAAAGGCAGAAGAAATGAAGCAAAACAGACTACATGACATTGGTATCAAAGAATGCTATGTTTCTCTTGTTGCTGCTGCTCCCCGTTTCTGCTCCTTGTTGCTGCCCCGTTTCCTTACTGCGTTTTTATTGCTCCCGTTGTTGCCCCCGAAGCTAAGCGATCTTTTCTTCCTGTAACCTGTCGTTTCAATCTGGCATCCAGTTCTGATCCGAATCATCGCACACTTCTGAACACCGCGCGTTTATTTGACACTGGGACAAGGCATGGCATTCTGAAGCTACAGGCCTACTGCTCTTAGCGGGCCGCGCCAGGGGCTTTACAAACAAAGTGCTGCACATATATGCACAGCATCAAACGGTTGTATCCCACAGCACTCTCCAATTTGGACTTGCTGAGAATCTCTTGAAGCCGGACGTGCATCAAGGCTTCTTACCTTGGGCATCCCGCTTCTCATGTTCAGTCATCAAGATCTCTTTCAATTTCTGCCTCCAGGATTGCCCTCAGGATGTGAAGTGTGTCAGTATCCAACTCTGCAATGCTGACTTCCCCAGCCAATTCGATCAAGGCGTCCAGCATGTCCTCATCTTCCAAGAGCCCGCGGAGGCGACCAAGGCCCAAACGATCTTCGTCATGGCGTCGGCGCACTTGTGGTGCTTCACTGTGGTCAAAAAGGCACTCTTTCCCCGCAGGGCATGGAAGGCCACGAGTGGACCATTTGCACGGTGTGGCATTGCAACGTTCTCGGTGTTGAGCAAAGATGGCGAGTTTCTCATCCCCGACAGCAGGCTCCGGCCACGGGACAACGATGTAGCTGACCTGAGCCGAAGATACAACGCAAATGCAATCACGAATCAGCATTGCAATTTTCAGTTGGGGAAGGTCAGCGTGGCAAGATGTTCTATTGCTACATGCAGTTGGAACGAAGCATTGCAAAGCCTATCCACCTTTACGAGCCCTTGCAGCAACCCCGTGCCATCTCCTCCGCTTTTTTGCATCTAGGACACAACGCGGCAAACCGGGCAGCCTAGCCGAGCCTCCCTTGAAACTTCCTTCCTCTGTCGCCATGACATCACGCACGCCATGCAAACGACGTGTTCACCTCAGCTGCGGTCTCACAGGTTCCTTGAAGCTGGAGTAATGATAGCAGCAATTGCATTGCGCATTGCGTTGCGCAATATTAGTAAATTAAATTCTTGCAAGCTGGGCAAGCTAAGGCAAGCGACAGCCTTCCAGCAAACCGTACTTCCCTCTCGCTTTTTTCAGCGGGGCTTCAAAGCAGATGCAGCACTCTGGACCCTCTGGACCTTCTGGACCTTCTGGACCATCGGGACCTGGGTGAGGCTTTGGGAAAAAGCTGCATCGATAAGAGCCCCCGCTGATTCTGATTCCACTGCTCGGCTGGGTGTCTGCGCGTCTTGCGCTCGCTGATTCGGGTTTTGATTATTTATATAGTTAGTTATTTGTTTGCTGTGCTGGCGATCCCGCCCTGCCCATATGCTTACCCTCCCTCAAAGCTAGTGCCCACAAGATTCACCATGGGGGTATTCGACTCTTAGAGCAGCAAGCATTTGCAGGAAGATTCCTCTGTTCGCTGACGAAACACTGTGTATAAGAATGAAAAAAATATGGAACTGTGTATGTCTGGACTGATGCTCCCGAAAGCTTTGAACGCTCGCTTTTGCATCCACGCTTGCGCGGTCGTGCTGCCCAACGCTAACCAACTACTTTTCCGGCGCGGGCGTCGCCAACAAACATGCAAGGTGGTCCATCGATGCCCCGATAGCCAAAAGCAAAACTTTTTTTGACCGCCGGAAATGCATTTGCACAGAAGGATCAAAATTTTTGCCCAAATACGAAGCGGACATGCAAAACTGCTCAGCTTCAGATGGTTCCGCCCACGATATTCGCCTACACCCCAGCGTCACCAACCTGCACCATTCTTCAATCACATCGCGCTCCATCGCAGTGAATCAAATGCCTGCTGATTTTTTTTTGGCATGAAACTCAGTTTCGTGCTTGGTTGCGTCAAAAACGACGGCCCAAACAAATCTTGTCTGAGCATAACGGCATAAAGTTGAACAGACTGCTTCATTTTTCAAGACATTGATTTCCGTGCTTTCGCGTGAAGGCATCGAAGATAATGCTTGGCAGAAACGTGTTGCCCTTGGGGCCGCTGTTTCTCCCGCTGCTCTGGCGAAAATGAAACAAGAAAACATGATAACAATCTTAGTTACGCCTTTTGTGCTAGGGCTGTTGCTACATGGGAGCACATGGCTTGGTCTTGTCCTCAATTTGAGAACAGACCTGTTAAGCCTAATAATCCCTAAATCCCTTGTGGCTAGATTTGGTTGGCCGCTGTTAATTAAGTCAATGGTCGCCAATGTGTTGAAATGTCTTGTTAAAGTTGCTGCGATGGTTGTTGAATGTCGCTATGCGAAGTTGCCTGATGCCGCACAAGGTATCTACCCTGTCGTGCTATGGGCTCTATGAACCCTAAAGTCTTTCTTTCCACCGCTGCTTGCGTGTCAAGGGCGCAGCTGCGACAAATTGCAACAACTTTACTATTATTCATTATTAATTCCTCGCGTGCCACTCCCTTGTGTATCGCAGCGCCGTAGCGCACCCCTTCATCGCATTCATGCGCTTCCGTGCTGCGCAATGTTATGTACCACCCCCTTCATGACGGCACCGCGGCCAATCCATGTCCGCATTCACAGATCATGAAAACCTACTTGGACAGGTAGGCATGGGACAATCCGTCTCATTTTGCATCTATTTTTCCCCAGACAGAGACACTGTTCACACTATGGGGCTCTTACGGCTTACGGTAATAGCTAAGTTTGCGCACCCGTTTCTGGCTAATTTTCTGACCCATACAGCAGACAAGTTCCTCGATCTTCCGTTTGGCCTCGCGCGAAATCCACTTTTGAGGGTCAGAACCTCTTTTTATGTGGCAAGCGGAGAACATCGGACACTTTTCCATCTGCGTGGAAGGCGCATTACTTTGTGCATGCTGCTACAATACGGAACCAGCTGCAATTTTCCATATTTTTCGTGGAAGCGCGACATTTGGGGAATTGTGCCGATGTTTTCCAAGCCTCGGGATGCCCGTTTGGTGAGACTGTCTTGGTAAATTTGGCGTGGCAGGCGCAATACGTCCAATGCCTCATTTTTCTGCAGCAAGCGCATTTCTTTAGAGACCTCAATGAAAATTGTGGCTGAATGCTAGGCAAAACATTGGTTTTTACTTTTCATGGCGCACGCAATATTGGGTGAAATGCTAACATGTCCTCGCGCAACGCTCTCGCCACTTCAATCCACTTCATGTGTGTTGGATCGCCCTTGTTGTGGCGGGGTGCTCATTTTGACCGCTGGCGCCACACCCTTGGACGGCTCTCCTTGTGGCGCGGTGCCTCAATTTTGCTGATTCTCAAAGATTTTTCCTTTCATGACGATTTGCAAGTATATGCAATCATCTCATAGCGCGCTCTTAGAAATCCTTTTATGAAGATGTCCTTCTGTGAAGATCTTAAGCTGAGCAAGGTCCTGTAAAGGTCCTTGTGAGAAGATCACGAAGATCTTGTGAAGATCTGGTGAATTGTTTCAACGAAATCCGTGCATGATCTTGTAGAGGCCCTTGTAAAAAGATCCTGCGGAGATTTCGGTGAAACCCTCTGTAAGAGGTCCTTGCACGAAGACCTTGAAGATGCATAATTACTCTCAGCTACTTGAGGATGGGGGCCCGAAGGGGGTTGTAGACCACCAAAGTGCAAACATTAACTGTTTTTTTGGAAGGCCAACGAAAAATCTGATTCCTACCCAAGGCACCAGCAAATGAACATGCGCTTTTCAGCTGCTTCGATTTCGCAATGTTTGATCAATGCCGCTGGTAGGCAACTTTGAGACCCCAATCCATCAGACCCTTTCAGCCTGATCCTCAGCTGGTTCAAGGAGTGTAGCCCACAACGAAAAACACAGAAGGTTCAATATGCTTTTCCAAAAGATGAAGTTCCTTGCAAGAAGATAAACTAGTCCGACCCTGACATTGCACATTTCACATGAATCGTATGCGTTGTGTTTTTCTGAACGCCGCTGATGTTTGCTATTTTTTTAGGCGGAAGGGCGAAAAACAGATCAAAACCCTCCCAGACGTATAGTTGGGAAGATGCGCTTGGGCACACTGGTGAGAAACGGCGCATTTCTTTTTGCCATTGAGTCTCTGACTGGCAAAAAAAAGCAGAAAACAAATCAGGGCCCCCTGAAGGGGAAGATGCAGATGGGCAACTTCAAAACCTTTGGCAGGGGGAAAAAAGTCTATAAAAGTCTTACCCGTCACGCGCGCGTGAACTTAAATTCACTGCCCTCGAATGTTTCCAAAACCTTTGCGAAGGGCTGCGCAAACGACAATGATCCTGGAAGCTTCGCCAAAGCTTATGCCAGCAGAAAACTTAGTTTCCGTGGAAAGCGCGCAACAACATATATTCCCGTAGACAAAATTTTGTATATTTTTGTTGGGGTCCTGTTTATTGTTCTTTTGATTGGTTCTCGCACCTTGCAGGAGGTTTCATTTGATTTTACCTGCGCTCTTGCAGATTTGGGTCTCACATGTAACTCCTGGAGGTCAACCGTTGTTTTGATTCTTTTGTGGCGGTGGTGGTGAGACCTTTTCAGACCCTTTTCAGACCCTACCGCATCCAAATACCTGCCAAAAACACCTGATAACACCCACAAGCAGCCAAGAACACTTAAGAACACTCAAGAGGACGCAGGCAGCCATTAGATAGATAGAAAGAAAAAAGATAGATCGACAACAAATAGATGGTTGGCAGATGGGCAGATACACACACATGTGTATATATATATATGTATACATTTACATAGATGTGTGCGCATAATCTGTATTTCCACTTGTTTCTTTCACCCGCTCATTGTAAGAGCACTTGCCACGTTCGGGTTTTGTTGCCAATCATTGATCTTAAGGAGGGGCCAGACTGATGGTTCCCTGAAAACGCCGGCACCTGGATGTTTTGGAAGTTGGGTTCGGGTTATTGGAAATTAGAATGCCGTGTGGAGAGTGTTGATCAACCTTTGGCCACCAAACAAATGGCACAATATTCAGAGAGCGTGAGCGACAATGAATAATCACTGAGAATTGTCGTCGAATGTTTCGGGGAGTTCTGAAAGACTATCCTCACTGTCAGCAGTGACAGGAAATGGTTCTGAATGCGTATCTTTCCCAGTCTTAGGTATGGTTGCAGGACTCGGAACCCGGGGCATGGAGATTGCACCACATGTCCTCAAACCAAAGCAAATGGATGAGTGTCGATTCTGATGATTGGCTTGCAAAAAAACAAGCGAAAAAATTGACCAGGCTCCCGAACCTCGCTTTCAGAATCCCATCTTGTTTTGCTTCCAACCCACATGATAGCAGTGAAACAAAAACCATGAACTTCTGAAAGCGACGTTCAAGAATAATATTATGATTTTGACAGCCCCAAAACCCAAAAACTAAAAAGGTCTACAAGGGTCCAAGAAAAAAAGGTTGGTCTAGCAAACCAGTCTAGAAGCCTAGACCCATGACTCTGGAGGGGGGAGGAGCACTGTAGACCTTAAGTGGTTGAGGGTATGAAGGTGCCATGTATCAGAGGTGCTTGTCTGAAAGCTCTTCTGGGATGCTCTTAGGGGGTTCTTGCAAAAAACTTTGCAAGCCCTTGTGGAAGTTCCTTCTTGGACAATCTTGTGAAATTCTCCTCGCACCTCTAAGTTCCTAGATATTTTCCCTCTTGCCGTGAACTCAGTGGGTTGGCTATCAGCAGTTTTTGCGAAACAGAAGCTTCTACACACAAGTTTTTTACTTTTCATGCGGAACCTTTCACGCGCAGAGAACTTTCACACAGAGAAGCCGTTAGACAGAGCGGCTTTTACACACAGACGACGCGAACGCTTCTACATGCAGAAACTTTTACAAAGAGCAGCGGTTACACACAGACGCATTTGCACACAGAAGCTGTTACACAGAGAAGGCTTTACACCGAGCAGCTTTTACACACAAACGCCTTTACACACAGAAACTCTTACACAGAGAACATTTTACACGCAAATGCGCTTACACAAAGAAAAGGCCTTTACACGAAGAAGAAACTGTTCCACGGAAAACCCGTTACGCAGAGCAGTTTTTACACGCAGAAGTTTTTTACAAGTTCCTACACAGAGAAACCTTTACACACAGGAGCTTTTACTCACAGGGGTTTTTACATGCAGACTCCTTTGCACACAGAAGTTTTTGCAGAGCGCAGCTTTTACACACAGAATCTGTTAATGTTGGATCCTGATTAGTAGCTAGGCTCGCTACTGTGGCTAGAATTCTCCAAATTTTTCAAAACCCATGATTAGATCAGAAGTTTCACTATTGTGGCAAGATTTTTTGTCAGGCAACATTTTTCTCAAAAACAAGGCCTGCGTGAAAAAGACGTTTTTCTCAAAAAATGTTTGTCTACCTTTCCCAAAAGGATCAGGCCTCTTACCCTTATTAAAGAACAGCTTTTTCAATCTTTTTCACACATTTTCAAAGAAATGGAACATGAGAGGGCCCAGTTCACTTTAGCAGGTTTGTTCCCAGGGTTCACAGCTGCAGCAAACTTTTCCAGAGCTGATCCTGGAGCCGAGAGAAGAAAGTAACGCCTTCTACAAAAGCAACCTTCTCTTTCTTTTTCGCTTCCTCTCTCTTTCTCTCTCTCTCTCTTTTTCTTTCTCTTTCTCTTTCTGTCTCTTGTTGCATCTTTAGTAAAACAAAAAACTGGGGTGCAAAAGGTAACGCAATCAGCATGCTGAACCCCACTCACTACAAGTACTACCAATACTACAAGATACTACAAGTAATAACCACAAACATCACAAGTTCAGCAGCAAAAAGGGGTTAATTAAATTTCAATTGTCGCCAATTAAAATTCCTTACTTAAAAAGGATGCAGCATTCATTAGGGGGCGCGCGCATGAACCACGACCCAACATTACACACAGAGCAGCGTTTACATACCGAAGCTTTTACACAAAGAAACTTCCACTTCACACGCAGAAGCTTTTACGCACAGAGGTTTTACACGCAGAAGCCTTTTCGCAAAGAGGCTTTGCACAGAGTAGCTTTTACACGCAGAAGCCTTTTCGCGAAGAGGCTTTGCACAGAGCAGCTTTTACACGCAGAAGCGTTTGTACACAGAAGCTTTTTGCACAAAGAAGCCTTTACACAGAGCAGCTTTTACACACAGACGGGTTTGCAAGCAGAGGCTTTTACAGAGAGAAGGTTTTACGCAGAGCAACTTTTACACAAAGAAGCTTTGTAACACAGAAGATTTTACGCAGAGAAGGCTTTACACCAGCAGCTTTTACATACAGAAGTGTTTGCGCACAGGAGCTTCTACACAGAGAAGCCTTTACACACAGAGCAGCTTCTGCAAACAGAAGCTCTTACGCGCAGAAGCTTTTGCACAGAGCCACTTTTACACCCAAGCATCCAAGGACATGGGCAGGCGCAAGTGGCGCCAAAAACCATCTTTGCGATTTAGAACATGTGACCCTGCGGATTCCTTTGCGAATTGGGCTGGAATACCAAGCAAACATACTGTACAGTACTGTGTAGCCATCTATGACCAGTTCGTGCATCGGGTCAAACCGGCAGCCCCACCATCCGAACGAGATTGCTGCCTGAATGCTTTTCAATCTGCCGTGGTGCCCTCGTGCTGATGATGCCGATTTATCATCATGGCGGAAATGACATCGGGCACCGAAGCGACAACTTCCGTTTTCACCTGTCCAATTTCGGCATCGCATGCTTCGAGGCGGCTCGCCTTAGTGCTGAAACAGAAAACGCTGAAAACTTTTGGGTGTCCTCATAACAATAATGGCCAAAAAAGCGGTGTCCTGTGGCAAACCTTGCGCAAAGATACGCAGGCTATATTGCTTGGACAAGTATGGAACTCAATTTGACCGGCCCCGTGAGAAGTTGAAGGCACAAAATTCGCAAACTGAACGCTGTTCAGCAGCTTGGGGCGCTTGGATGCAAAGCGCTGGCGCTGGGAGGATTGCATCGGTCATGTGCAAAGCTACAGGCGTCGCCAAACCTACAGCTTCCCGCTGCGCCGGTCCAATACCAACACAAGTTTCTCGCCATCTTGAGCCAGCTTGACGGCGTTCATCCATGGGCACCAAGTCATATCCTTTTTGACTGCGTGCATACTTTTTAAAGCTTGTTCTTTATGCAGTGATCATTGCACGTACACCGTACACCCAGAACCTCTGGCCCAAAGTCTTTGAGACAATTTTGAACAGCGTTTGGCACCACCAGGAGCACCTTGGTGACACACAAGCACACTTCCAAAAATATGGCAAAACGCCGGAAGCTACAACAAATTTTCCTTGGTGCGTTCCATTGCGTTTCGACAATGCATCTAGGCATGGCCTCGCCACACATTTCTTGGTTGCAAGGGCAGCCGGGAACCTGCCACTGCTTCATACACTCCGCATTGTAATGGCAGACGGGGTCTGCCAAGTGAAATGCTTCACGCCCCTTCACAGCCATGACATTAAACAACACGAGCATCAGGCTAGCAGAGCATGGTCTAGCTGTCAAAACGATTTTCCTGGAAATGGTGGAAAAAATGGCTCTGGACTCGACCAGCCAAGGTGTACTTGGCAATTTTGCTTTGTTTACAGCAAAATCCGATTGCAATACAATACAAACAGCAGAAGCAAGCATCATGCTCCCCCGCACACCAATGATGACCAATGCTTGGCACTCGCGGGCATGACCTGTTCCCATGTCTGCTCAGCCCAAACAGACTGTAATATATTGTTGGCCTTGCAGGCTTCTGTCGTAAGGGCATCGCTGCAGCGAGTCACCTGCATACAGGGCAAAGGCAAGGCCAACCAACAAACCAAACTAGAAGAACCCCGGCTTTAAAATCCAAGAGCCCGTGCAGAATTGGCATGAACTGTTTGAACCATTCAGCGTATATTCTAAATATCTTTTTCGCTGCAGCTGATCCTGCAAGATTCTTGGCCCTGTGCCTTTTCCCACTGCATGAGCGACTTCAGAGTTTCCTTGCTGCGCCCGGATGAGCAACATGAAGCGACAAACTGCGGAAATAGTTCCCGGCTTAGCTTGATGCAGCTTCAAAAAACCTCGCCAAAGTGAGGTGCCCGCCTTGTCACACCCGTCATTGACGTGCTTTCCAAGTTTGCGCATGCCCTGCAGCCTACACGGTGCTCGTGTCAGTTTGTCAAATCTAAAGAGCGGGAACAGACTTAAAGGCATCTCGCAGCTGTTCTTCTGCCCTACAATCTGCATGTTTTCTACCTCTTACATGTTCTTTGACTTTGGTTTGTTTCTTCTGTTCTTCTGCGCAAAAAATGGCCTCTCTTCAGCTTGCTCGATCTGCTCCCTAAGTTTTGATAAGTCTTTGAGGGCGTCCGGGTGTGAAGCGCAAAGCCACGCAAGTGTACAATGAAACGATTTTGTAGCAGGGAGCCAAGGACATGCCACGACAAGAAACTGGGAGCACCATGGTTCTCATCTGCATGGCTTGGCCCACGTTTAGCGATTGAGCTGACAAAGCATCAGAGAGCCAGGCCGGTCAACGCCAGCTTGCTTCGCCTTAGTTACCTCCAAATCTGAGGCGATGTGTCACCTATGTTTTTGGCTGACTGTCCTTGTGACGTGCCAGGTGCTAGTCTCTTGAAGTCTCTTGTTCCGGGACAGACATGACAGAAAGATACATGATGCAGAAATATGCGCCTGCGCCAAGAGCGCGTCATAATCCCCATCTTCCTGCGCAGTGCAGGGGCTAAACGGGCATTTTTTGGATGAAAGACGGGGACCCACGTAAAACTACCAACATGGCACATCTAAAGAATCACAGGCCAGCAGGTATCTCAAAAAATCGCTAGCGCAGCCCCCGTCCGTTCACCCAATCGGATGCCCGTGCCAACCCAAGCAACCAAATAGATCCAAATAGAAGAAATAGCGCCCAAAAAGGCCTATCCTCTAAAGAACGGGGGGGGGCAGGTTTGTGTATGGCAGGTGACTCTCCCCAAAACTCACCCTTGCTGAAAAACGGGGAAATTTGTTGTCATTGTTGCGGGGTTGTTGGCGTTAGGCATTACTTATGCGATGGCAGGCGTGTAAAGCCAATTGCCTGCGCGTACAACAACGTTCAAACTGACATCCATTATCCTGGCGAGAGGCCCCAAACAGTGTGCAGTTAGGATTCCAAAGGGAAAGGTGGAAAGGACCCAAAATCATAAGTGGCTCCAAGCTAGCAGGACGAGAGCGACCCTAGTAGTGAAAGCATGGTGTTCATTCAAGGTGGTCTCTGGAAGAAGAGATGCCACGTTAGATTCTTCAAGTTCCCTTTGTGAAGATCTGTGTAGAAGATCGTGCGCAAGATCTCCTTGACAGTTTCTCTGAAGAAGCTGCTGTGCAAGATCTCTTTGTAAGGCTATCAGTACAAGGTGTCTATAAGAGATCTCCACAGAAGATCTTTGTAAGAGATCTCAAAGTACAGCTCGGAGCAAGATCTCTGCTCTCTTCACCTGGTCTCTGGTCTCTGTACAAGATCTCTATAAGAGGTCTCCTGGCAAGATCTCTGCACAAGATCTCTATAAGAGCTCTGCTGGCAAGTTTTGTGTAGAGATGTCTATAAGAGGTCTCTTGGCAAGATCTCTGTAGAAGCTCCCTATAAGGGGTCTCTTGGCAAGATCTCTTTACGAGATCTCTTTATGACATCTCTGTAGAGGCTCTTTACAAGAGCTCTATTGGCAAGATCTATTCAAGAGACCCCTTGGCAAGACCTCTGCCGATCTCCATGCAACGTCTCGGTACAAGATCTGCAAAAGAGGTGTCCTGGCAAGATCTCTGTCAAGATCTCTATAAGGTCTCTTGGCAAGATCTCTTGAAGAGATCTCTGTACAAGCTCTGTTGGCAAGATTTCGGTACAAGTTATTTAATTCTTAAGAGTTATGCTCTATCGGGTGCCTGGGGACCCTAAAACTGGGTATGTACACTGGGTATGGGTACGATGCGGGTACGGTGCGGGTACGGTACGGGTACGGTACGTGGGTACAGTCCGTGGGTACGGCGTGCTGGTACAGTGTACCCACCGTACCTGTTTTGAGAAAATGTGGTGCTATTTCCAAAATGTGCTGCTATTAGCGCCACATTTTGGAAATAGCACCACATTTTCTGAAAACAGGTACGGTGGGTACACTGTACCAGCACGCCGTACCCACGGACCGTACCCACGTACCGTACCCACGTACCGTACCCATACCGTACCCGTACCCAAAAGCACGAAACTACATACCGTACCCATACCCAAAAGCACGTACCCACGTACCGTACCGTACCTAACCCGCCTAAGTATGTACACCGCACCCCCCCGTGATGCTCAGATAGAAAACCTTGATTTCATAACTCTTAAAAATTAAGAATGTACAAGACCTCTATTGTACAAGGCCTCTATAAGAGCTCTCCGTACAAGATCTCTATAAGAGCTCTCCGTGGCAAGATACTGCGCAAGACCTCCTTGACCATTGAAATGAGCACCGCGCCGCAACGAGAGCGATCTGACAGGCCGAAAGTGACGAGAAGGTTGCGCGAGCCGTTTCAAAATGAATACAAAGTGACAAGAGGATCGAGACGGTTGAACGAGGCATTTCAAAATGAGCACCGCGCCACAACGAGAGCGACCTGACAAGCCCAAAGTGACGAGAATGTTGCGCGAGCCGGCGCAAGAAAACATCGTAAATACCGGCTTCCGGGGCGCAAAAAACATCAGTATTTACTGTGTTTTTTCCTCCGAGAGTTTCAAAAAAAGGGGAAACACGTATTTGACGATTTTCGGCCAGTACGAGACTGAGAAAAAGCTGCAAGGGTAACAGCAACAGCAATGTTGTTGTAACAACAACACCAGCAACAACAATAAGATCAATAAGATCAATAAGAACAAGCACAAGAACAAGAACAAACACAACAAACACAACAAACACAACAAACACAACAACACAACAAACACAACAAACACAACAAACACAACCAACACAACCAACACCAACACCAACACCAACACCAACACCAACACCAACACCAACAACAACAACAACAATGACAATGTTGTTGTAACAACAACACCAGCAACAACAATAAGATCAATAAGATCAATAAGATCAATAAGAACAAGAACAAGAACAAGAACAAGAACAAGAACAACAAACACAACCAACAGAACCAACAGAACCAACAGAACCAACAGAACCAACAGAACCAACAGAACCAACAGAACCAACAGAACCAACCAACCAACCAACCAACCAACCAACCAACCAACCAACCAACCAACCAACCAACCAACCAACCAACCAACCAACCAACATACCAACATCAACAACAACCAACCAACAAACCAACCAAACCAACAAACCAACCAAACCAACCAACCAACAAACCAACAAACCAACAAACCAACAAACCAACAAACCAACAAACCAACAAACCAACAAACCAACAAACCAACAAACAAACAAACAAACAAACAAACAACAACAACCAACAACAACAGCAACAGCAAGAGCAAGAAGAAGAAGAAGAAGAAGAAGAAGAAGAAGAAGAAAAAGAAAAAGAAGAACAATAAGAACAAGAACAAGAAGAAGAACAAGCACACAAATGCGACAAAAATATGTGTGGTAAGATGGTTCCAAGCTGCGGTACGAAAAGAACATCACACTGTGCTCTGCACCTGCACAGCGCGCGGAGCACATGAACAACACCAACGCTCACACTGCTATACATAACCCGTATGGCATCGCCGGTGTGCAAAGCTCTACAAGTACTACAACATGGCATTTACGGCCACATTTTGCGAACCGATTTGCTGATTTGCCATAATAACGGTCACTCTATGGGGGGTCAGCCCATACCATTCTGTGAAGGAAACGGCAACGCGGAGCAGAAAGAGCGACACCTGCCACACGGATGAAAAAGTGTCCCATGTCCTGCACCTGTCACGCAAAGCGACGTTTTAGACCTTAATAGCTTAAAAAATCGAGCACGCGGCGCCAATAAGACGAGACCTTTGGAAGAGACCAAGCCAGGGTCTGCATTTTGTGCGAGCCTGCGCAATCGAAAATGCACATGGACGACTCACATGGAAACTGTTGTGCGAGCCGGTGCAGACGAAATGAGCAACCCAGATGGAACGCCCTGATCTAATCCCGGCCTTTAACACCTACCGTAAGAACATTGCCCATGCCTTAGGGGGGGGGGTTACCCCACTTCAAAAATACATCAAAAGTGTTTTCGGGGTGTTTCGTTGTAAATTGTAAATTAAATATTTCCAAGGGGCTCAGCTGGGCAGAAATAATGATAGCCCCACCCTTTTCCGAATATGATGAATTTAGTTTAAATTTGCTGTGCGACCCAGAAGTTACTTTCCATAGTGTTGGATCCGATTAATGTGGAGGGTCGGTATTGTGTCAAGTTTTCTGAATATAATCCCAGCCCTCTGTGTTAATGGGGGTGGGTCGGTATTGTGTCATTTTTCTCTGATGCCATTTTTTTCAGCATGTTGTTTTTTAGATTGTCATTTTCAACATTATATTCAAGATGTATTTTTTTTTAGTAACTATATATATATATATATTGCAACATGTTTTTCAACATATGTTTTGTTTCAATGCCATTTTTTTTCAAATAGCAAGCTCCTTGTGAAAAAAACAATTCAAAAACAGCACCCAGACAATTTTCCAAGAGGGTAGCCCATGAGCAACCCTGATCTTAAATAGTATGTTTGCTGTGGGGGCCTTCTATTGCGTCCAGCTTTTTTCTGAGCGGAACATCTCATATATCCCTTTATTCCTTTCTTTGGTAGAGCTGTTGTAGCTTAATTATAATATAAGATTATACCAGTAGTACCCGCACGCAGCGGGGCGGAAGTTGCCTTAAAGATATATATAAGACCTTTCTCATCTATAGAACTTGCCTGCGCCGTGCGCCAGCCAAGCCCGTGCTCCACTTCGCACTTCACACTTGACAGTCTTCACACTCCACACTACACGCTTCACACTGCACTCTTCACACTGCACTCTTCACACTGCACCCTTCGCAGTCAACACTTCACTTCCAACTGTACTCTTAAGACTCCACACTTCACACTTCACACTCCACACTTCACAGTCCGCACTTCACACTGCACTCTTCGCACTCCAAACGTCACACTTCACAGTCCACACTTCACACTTCACAGTCCACACTTCACACTTCTCACTTCACTTCTCACTGCTTCCTTCACACTCCAAACTTCACACTTCACACTGCACTCTTCACACCCCACACTTCATCTCATCTGAGCTCTTCTCACCTTATCCCAGCTCAGCTCTTCTCATCTCATCTCTTCTCATATGTCATCTAAGCTTTCATGAATCACTTCCCAGTACTACTACAAAGGAACTTGCATGCGCAGTGCGCCAGCCAGGCCTGTGCGTGCGTGCTTTGTGCGAAGCTGTTGCAATATTGTTGTCCAAGAACATGACCTGCGCGCGTCCCCGGTGTAATGCAACGTCAAGCAAGCACTTTCTTCACACATCACATTGCACCCTTCACACTTCACATCTGAGCTCTTCTCACGGACAAACACAAGGTTTCGTGCTCCGGCTTCCTCCCGAAAACAGAGCCCTTGCAACATCATGCAGCCATTCCAATGCGATCTGCAACCACAGATTCCAAAACACCCTATAACTACGCACACACAAGCAGACCCAAAGCAGCTTCAAGCC